GACAATTGCACCGCATCAAAGGGAGGATGGATGGGGCCATGTACCGTCAAATCTTGGGTGAGAACCTCCTTCCCTCAGTCAGGGCATTGAAAATGGGTCGTGGTTGAGTATTCCAGCATGACAATGATCCAAAACACATGGCCAAGGCAACAATGGATTGGCTCAAGAAGAAGCATATTAAGGTCATGGAGTGGCCTAGTCAGTCTCCAGACATTAATCCCATAGAAAATCTATGGAGGGAGCTGAAGGTTCGAGTTGCCAAACATCAGCCACAAAACAATAATGACTTGGAGAGGATCTGCAAAGAGGAGTGGGTCAAAATCCCCCCTGCGATGTATGCAAACCTTGTGGCTGACTACAAGAAACGTCTGACCTCCATGATTGCCAACAAAGGTTTTGCCACCAAGTACTAAAGCACATTTTGCAAAGGGATCAAATACTTATTTCATTCATGAAAATGCAAATTACTTTATAACTTTTTTTTTTTGTAATGCATTTTTCTGGATTTTTTTTTTTTGTTATTGTTGTCTCTCACTGTTCACATAAACCTACCATTGAAATTGTAGACGGATCACTTTGTTAGTGGGCAAACTTACAAAATCAGCTGCGGTTCAAATAATTTTTTCCCTGACTGTATATAGAGTTTGAGGTAATAGGTAATCTGAATTAGCCAGAGTTATTAAGAGAGTAGATAATGTTGGGTGTGTGGGTGCAGGCAAAGAGGGGGTTGGTTTTGGGACACTTGAACACACTGTTGAGCCTTCTCAGTGTCGTGGGCCCAACACCAGATACTGAGAGGGTGCCCACCTGTTGACCCTGTAGACTCGCCTTCTCTCCTACACCCACACAGGAGTTGGTGGTGACAATAGTTATTGACTCAGGGTTGTTAGTAGTGTTGAGTTTGTTAGACAGTCTTGGTAGATACAGTGTCAGTGGCTGTATATCTGAGTGAACCCAGCTCTCAGAGGTGACTACAAGCCAGCTGGACCAGTCACTGCTCAACCTAAGCAAATAACAAGCAGATGCTGTGTGTCGAGCCACATATTTGCTCTTTGCTTGGGTGGGGTTAGGATTCAGAGATGGTTTGTGTTAAGGGTAGGTTAGGATTGGAAAATGGTGTTGCTTATTGTGGGCCTCTGAAGATTTAAGATGGCATGGCCTGACCCTCCACCCACTTTGGGGCCAAATAATGGGTAAATATTTAACTCGTATACTGAGCTTCCATATGAATATTCTCCCATTAATGCTATATTCTGGACTGTAAATGCCACTGTGTTGCTACTCTGTTTAATTACTTCATTTTTACTTTTACTTTTACTAAATGTCACTGCCGCCTTCCTTCTCTGACAGTGGTGCAGATGACCTGTTGCCCATCCTGTCTTTCGTGGCTCTGCAGTGCCAGTGTCCTCAGCTGATTTCTGAATGTGCTGCTTTGGAGGAGTTCATTCATGAAGGGTGAGTTCTCAAAAAAAGTTAATGATGGTCTTTTTTTGTTTGCATAAAACATAAGAATTGGTATACATATAATCACAGTTTTGAAGGAATGTCCTGCAATATCATTTTATATTAATCTCCCCCCCC